AAATCTTGACTTTCTTGGTAAATTTTTCATATTAAATTATGATTAACTATTGAATATTACATGATGTGATTTTAACTTTTTTTTTTTAATAGATTTTTTCCATATTAGATTCATAATTGATTTTTCAAGTTTAAAATTAAATTCTTTGGGGTTGTAATTGATTATTAAAATTAAAAAGTTGAGATTTTTTTTCATATTTGATTCAAATGGAAGAAATTTGTGAAGAGATTGGTGGAGAGAATAAATATAGGTGTAGAAATTTGCTTTTTTTTTTTAATAATGAAGATATTTTGATAATTTTACAAAATCAAAAATTGAAAATAGGTCAAAATTAAAAATCCTCATTTTAGAAAGGGGTCAAAAGTCCAAATACAATCAAGAAAAGAGACAAAAAAAAAAAATACAAATTTCCCAAATTCTATGAATGAATTCTATGATAGTGGACAAGTGGTTAGAGCGATTTTATTTACTGATGCATCAGCCCAACCTTAGTTAAGACTGAGGTCTAGGTGAGTTTCTGAAACATATGGTTTCCTCGAACTTAAGTTATGAGATATTATTTTGTGGACTTCAATAACCTGATCTCTTTCTCCTGTAACATGCCTACACTATAGAGATAGGTTGAACGTCCATAGGAATTGAGACGTTAAAGATTTTTGATATGGTTTTCGTGTCTATCGATCTCCTCGAATAATTTGTAATGAAAATTTGCACTTTCACCTTTTATCCGTAGGGTTTGAAGGCCCTTGGTCTGTATCATTTATAGCTATGAACTAAAATACTATTGATACGTAAAATAGAATTAGAAAATTCAAGTATAATATCAAGAAAGGTAAATATAATTTTTGTCCCAAGACGATTTAGAAAAGTATTGTATTGGTTGAATTGGTGTGTTTACTAAATGCTTTCGCACCAAGTACTTTTGGAGTATTACTGATTTTTTGGAATTTTGTACGTAAAATGGGCAAAGTGCTTTCTCAATACAGTGGTCAGTGCCTTCCTTGCTTCCTATTTTACTTATGTTGCCTTCGTAGCAATTGAGATAAATTTAAACAGAAAAATAATTCTATTTTTGTTGAAAATAAATAAATCAATATTTAAATATTGTTCTCACATGTTAAAGACTCTGATTAAATTTTTTTTTCTTTTTTCTTTTTTTTCTTTTGGAAGGATTGACATGGGTCAATAAATAACTACTTTTATAGCCTTAAAAAGTAATTGAAAATAGTATTGCAACCTTCAAAAAATAAAGGAGAGTAACTCGTATATATTATATATTATCGTTGGGTTCCTTATTTGTTTTAAGGACAAATTGCACCAACCGTCCTGAAGTATGGTAAATAATTACCCTTAAACTTTCAATCGTAAAAATTAAACCATAAAACTTTTATAAATGAAAAAAATTAACCCTTAAACTTTCAATGATAAAAACTAAATCGTTAAACTTTCAATCGTAAAAGTTAAATATTCTGTTAGAATTCATATAAATGAATTAAATTTACCCAACCTAATAGCTTAAGCTTTTGAGTTGATTGGTGGTTTATTCATCCTTAAGATGACATTAGAGCGGTTGTTCGAACTCATGCGTAGTTGTTTGCTCATAAATCTAACCATGAGAGCCAATCAAAAGATCCTTCGAGTTCGATTTTCTACTCCACAATTATTAAAATAAAAACAAAAATGATGAAAGTCCTGTCACGAGAAACCAACCTTAAGGTAAAAAAGAGCAGCCTACTGTTGTGTACTGCACCAGCGATTATCGATAATGCGTAGAAGTTATTGTAGGATGATGAAACAGCTACAAGTGGCTCAGTCATATTCAATTATTATACCATTCTTGTCTTATATATTATATATATTATATATATCAACCACAAGTGGCTGAATCATATTCAATTATTATACCATTCTTGTCTTATATATTATATATGTGTCATCTTGGACACCCTAATTTAGTCCTTTGAAATATATGGCTTGGGATGTAAAATTTCGAAAAGATCTTATTAGCCCAAACATTTATCGATATAGTGGATCGAAGACATTTATATATTGAGTACCGAACCTTACTAGATAAGATACATACGAAACCAATAAATTAAAGAGTAGACTTGGCTCAAGCAATCCTTCAGAGAAGAGAGTATTTTGACTTGCCCCAACTATATCTTCCAAATTGACCGTACTAACAATCCATCATCCACGTGAACTATGCTGCTGTTTTTGTTTTTTGTTTTAAGGATAATTACGAAATTGCCACTACCACTATTACGTATTAAATGCCTCTGTACTCTTCAGCATACTCTCTCTCTAGTACACTGGTCGGCGTCCCCATGCATCGATTGGTTGCTTCAATCTTATATTATTATTATTGTTTTCAAAATTTGCGCCAATAAAAGATTCAGAATCTTTGTGGGGGAAAAATTAGTACACCAACCCGACAATATTTGACATTTGTTTGAATTTTTTCTTCTTTTGGTACCCGTCGACACGTCAATATATCGATCGATCTTTTCATGTATCTATAATTTCGATATTGATATAAGAGGTAAATCGACATTTCCATCGTATTAAAAAAATTGACAAAATGTAAAAATTATAAACAAAGTGTGACTAATATATATAATAATAATAATATTAATCCTTTTAAACTTATTTGAAAATAGAAATATCTATCGACATTGATATTTTATCGATATTTCCATAAAATTAAGATCTCGATATTTCCAACGACATCGATTTGTAATTACTTGAGGGTTTTTATTTTTTAAGAAATTTTACTTCATCTTTTATGAGCTTGAAGTTATTCCATCTTAGACCAGGGAGTTTTCTATTATTCTTCTTAAATTTCAAATTTCTTGTCATGCTTGCTTTAAACTCGAAAAATAGCTCTTGTAATGAAGTGCGTTGGATTTTTTGCCAAGTAAATTATAAATTTATCGGTGTCATTTTGTTGTCTCTCCTATTTGTTATTATTTATTACATGAAATTAATTACTAAAACTTATTGTTAGTGTTAATGGAAACTTAAATTTAAAAATTATTTTGGTTGGTAAAATTTGATTTTCATATTTGTTACCAATTGTTATCTAAATTAAATAGGATCAACAGAATTCATTGTCCATTAAAACGAATTTGCGAATGGTTTGCTAAGTTTATTTGCATACTTGGTTATTGAGATTGTTTGAAATTAATTGTTGGTAAAAGTGTCTATGAATATTTAATTGCTTGTGTAACTCCATTCATATATTTGATTTCGAGAAAATAGTTGGAGAAATTAGTTGTTAACATAATTTGTTTAAAAATTAAGACAACTTATTTATAAATTATTATTTCATAAAGATGTAACTAATTTGATTAATTTTATCCCCTTAATTAATATTTTATAAAATTAAAGTTTAGTTTATCAACTTTGAGGATTGTATTTAGTAGGTCCCTAAACTTTAAAAAGAGTCTAATAAATCTTCAAAATTTAATATTTTGTGTCTAATAATAGATCTCTGATCTTTATAAGTGTCTAATAAGTATATGAATTTTTAATTTTATGTCTAACAGATTGCTAACCTGTTAGACATTTTTTAAATTCACAAACTTAATTAGACAATATTTAATAGGCGTTTGGAGGTGCAGGCGGAGGCGGTCGACAAAAAGAAGGCAAGGGAGATGGGCGGTAGGAAGGAGGGTCTGAAATATAGGGAGAAAAATTATTGAACGAGACCACCACAATTTGGTTTCCCCCGATTGGATGTTCAAAAATCTTCATGCTCCTAAAATATCAGCTATATTATGGTGGCTTCTTTCAATAATTTGGAGGAGATATGAAAGGGGAGGGAGAAGGAAATGAGAGCGAAAGAGGAGATATAGCTCGAGGTTGTAGAAAATATTTTTAATTTATTTTAGTGAAACAAAAGTAGAGATGAGATAATAAACCTCCCCTCTCTAGAAAAAGAGCAAAATGCCTTAACCGCTCAACTAAGTTCAAGTTGACCGTCAACAATTATAATTATAAAATATATAATTTTTTGAAAATTAAGTGAACAAACAAGAAACTAACCTATAGTTCAAAATTCAAGGAATACAAGTGGGCTTTTTTTTTTCCAAGTACAAAAAGGTCAATTTTCCATGTTTGTATAACTTGCTAAAAATGAAAACATTGTTTTTTTTTTATTAAGTTTGAAAGGGAGAAATCAAAGGAGGGCAGAGTGCCCCCCACAGCACTGGTAATGGAAAATGAAGTATCGGGAGAAAAAGACAAAATATTTCATAATGTATGTGGCATATCCATCAATATTTTTATATGTCTATAAATTTGATATTGATGTAATAAGTCGTTATTTTTTATAATATATATAAAAAAAATCGACAAAATGTATACAAACAAGATAAATAAAATATCACTAATATTAATAATTTTAACTTATTTTGAAAATGTTCAAATGTTTATTTGTTAATTTAGACTCCGTTTGATAACTATTTCGTTTTTGTTTTCCTGCTTTTAAAAATTAAGCATGAAAACATTTTTTCATGTATGTGTTCTCTTGTTTGTTAAATCGTTTTTATAAACATTTTCAAAATCTATGGAAAATTATTTTAAAAAAATTGATTTTTCTTAAATTTTGCTAAGAATTCAAATATAGTTTCAAGACAGGTAAAAATAACTTACTAATTTTTCATTAGTGTAACAACAAACATAATTTTTAAAAACAGAAAACCAAAAACGAAATTGTTATTGGAGGGGACCTTAAATATTTGTTAGAAACTTTTCTATTCTTATAATCTTTTTGGAAATATTCATCGACATTTTAATGAAATTGAGAGATCACTATTTCTCCCTATTTTCATATAGATGTTTCTTTTTTTATTTTTCTCTTTTCTTTTTTTATTGCTTTTAGGTGGTTTTGAAGACAAAAGAGATAGCCATAAATTTTACTTTCTAGAAATACTGTTTAAGGGCCAATTTAGAAACTTGTTAAAGGCCAAGTAGTATCAAGTTATCAAGTAGAGGCAATGGAGGATTTCCAAATCTCTTCAGCTCCATGTTCCTCTTCTTCCTCAGCCCTCCAACAGAAACTCCAATTCATAATCCAAAACCAAAGCCAAAACCAAGGCCAATATTGGTGGACTTATGCCATTTTTTGGAGAGTCACAACCACCGAGAATTGCCGTCTTTTGTTGGCATGGGTAGACGGCTATTTCCAAGCTGGCGGTCGCGATGTCTCGATGGCGGAGCGGTTCTACTCGATGTCGGTGGCTCGAGAGTTCGAATTCGATAGCAATGGCGATGGCGACGTTTTAACCAAGGCCTTCATCTCCGGGAGGGAGGTCTGGCTGAGCGAGCTTTTTCAATTTGGCCAAAGCAAGAGAGGCAAAGAAGCTGAAAGACATGGCATCAGAACTTTGGTTTGCATTCCAACTCCAGCTTCTCCTTGTGGAGTCCTTGAGTTGGGCTCTCAAGACACAATTAGAGAGGACTTGAAGTTTGTTGAGCACCTCAAATCCGTGTTCGCTTCCGATCAAATCTTCGTTGTTCAATCATGCAATCAACTCCGTCTTGAGGAGAATACGTCATGGGGTCGAAAGTCGAGAGTCGTTGGTGCGCGCGGTGCGCCCGTGACTTCTCATGTTGAGGCCGAGAGACAGCGGCGCGAGAAGCTGAACCACCAATTCTGTTGCCTCCGGTCTGTAGTGCCAAATATTTCGAGGATGGACAAAGCATCGCTCCTCTCAGACGCGGTTTTGTACATCCATGAGCTGCAGGCCAAAATCAAGGACCTCGAATTCGAATTTTCAAAGAGATCAAATTCCAAAGAATCGAAAAAAGCGGCACTGGTGAACCAAAGGAGGCCAAATGGTGGATTAATTAAGGTGGAAGTGGAAGTAGAGGTGAAGATTATGGGATTAGAGGCAGTGATTAGAGTTCAGACGAAGAACATGAGCAACACAATGGCAAAGCTAATGGAGGCATTGCGAGACTTGGAGCTTAAGGTTCACCATGCGAGTATGTTGAACCTAAATGACTTCACATTGCATGATGTGGTCGTTGGCCTTCGTCCTGATCAGAAACAAACCAACATTGAAGAAGAAGCTATTAGAATGTCACTTCTCAAAACGCTACACCATCCATCGTCACCCTAATCTCACATTTTGATCCTAATATGAGCTTTGGTTTGGAATGACCTGATCAGCTTGAGCTGAACAGGAGTTGTTAATTAAGTTATGTCGTGTGTGTTTGAACTCTCACCTCCACATGTTTTGTACTGAAAAAAATTTGTTTTGTGATGAATTTAGAAGGTGTGTTTTTGAACAACGGAGACTAGTACAAGTCTATACCATCGATTCCAGATGCTACAAGTTACGGATAACATTATAGCTGGAAATGTCAATTTCGATAAACTACAACTTACTATAGTGATTGTTACAATTGTGTCAGAAAAATTTTAACAATAAAGATTAAACGCTTGTACTAGGGGTGTTCATGGGTTGGGTTGGATCGGGTTAGGAGGGGTTTTGGGACCAGCCCGAATTTTCGGGCTGGCCATATATAAGAACTGTCGGGTTTGAATTGGATGGTCAACCCAACCCAACCCAACTCAATATTTTCTGGTTGGATCGGGTTGGGTTATCCGTTTGTGTTTTTTTACTTTTTATTTTTAATTATCACGGTGGCGATGAGGAGTTAAGATTAAAATTTAATGGACGGTTGAGATTAAGATACAAAATAGAAAAAGATAATATGAAAATCTTAAATGAAGGGCTAGGATTAACATCGAAGATAAAGACATTATTATATATATAATTAAGAAAAATACACATACATGCATAAATTCGAGTTGAGCTGGGTTGATTAGATTTTTTAAAGGTTGAACTCGAGATCCAACCCAATCTGATCTGGTTGGAAAAATCACAATCCAACCCAATCTGAGGCTTCATCTAGCCCAACCCAACCCTTTGAGTTGGGTTCATCGGATTCGTCAGATTGTCAGATTTTTTGAACACCCTGATCTGTACCATGTCAGTTCGTTATTTGCATTTAATTTTTTTATTGGGAAAGCCCTCGTTCTTAAAAGAGTGTACAATATTTAGAGAAAAAAGAGGCATCTGTTTTAGAGGAATTGAGACAATTTTTAACTAGGGAGTAATGTAAAATTCAATTTTGGTTTTCAATTATGAAAATCTAAGAGTTTAGTGTTTTTTTTTTTTCTTTTTATGATTAAAATTCATGGGAAGAGTGGCAACCATATTTATGAAATTGCGACCATCGATATAGTCTAACTAAATTTATCGTTTTAGAAGGCTAAATTGTGACCATCAACCATATTTATCATCTGGTTTTATTACATTATTTTAAAAATCATTATTGGAGCCAAATCAAGCATAGCTCAAATGATTAAGGTACCAAATTTTCAAAGCTTTCACGAATAACATCAAAATATTCGAAAATACAAACAAAAAATAGTTCCTAAGTGAACAAATAATTAAAAAAAAACAGATATATATGTATATACATTTTGATATTTAAAGCAAGTAATAGATGTCTATAGCCTTGCTTAACTCATCTCGTTGCACTCTACATTAGCTAAAAAGTTGTAGTATGGCCTAAAAATGGCTAGGTTCCATTTAAGAAATGTGTAAAGTGGCTCATTTGTAATTTTCACACTACAAATACTTCATGAGTATGTCTAGTTCACTTCAAAGTTTCTACTTCCCAGTGTCTTATTCACGGGATTTCCTTTTAACACTCCTGAAAACAAAACTAATTATTAAAATATTACGGATTATAAACTTTTTTATTTTTATAACTGGGAGTCGGATCCCTATATTTAGGGGTGTCCGTGCCCGCCTTAAAGTTCGGATCCGAAAGACATCAAGAACTTTTTTTATTAAACTCATCGAAAAGTTCGAACTTCAGATCTCTAGGTCAGTATAACCAAGAAACCCCAAACTTTTTCCAATCAGACTGTCTTAAGGGCTACTATAAACTAATTTTAAAGGCAATGCAAATTTTATTCTTCCTTCAATTTATCATCTTTTTTAAAGAGATGACATAGGCAGCCTCGACAGGAAGTTGTCTTTTCCGTAATATATTTTTTCTCTCTCTTTTTTTTTTTAATTTGTTTAAAAGAGAACCAACTGTGAGAACATTATGGCCTTTATTGTCTCTCCCAACAAAGAAAAAGTTGGCACTGCTTTGTGATTGTAACTTTCTAGAAAAATATAGCCTATCGATATTGGCACTAGTTTTGGATTACAGATGGGAGCTTTCGTGGTCGAAGGGAGGAAGATGAAGAAGAAAAGGAAGCAGAGAGATTTGTGTAGGGATTGGATTTAGAGTTAATGAACTCGAGAGAACAACATTGTGACGCTGGGGTAGCGAAATAGAGTAGAGTCACGCTACATGTCCGTAGCATTGAGACGCTACCGCTGCACTCCAGAAGAAGAAATGAAAGAAAAAAAAAGGCATGTTTGATGTTAGCAGAAGATTAAAAAATAGAAAGTTGTAGAGCATTGTTGACATATATGTTCTTTGTGGGTTTAACGAGAGCATTTTTGGTATAGAAGTTTCAGTACCCGTTGTTGTGATAGCTTTGTAAGAGTCGGTTCAACTTCATTCCATTAGGTTTTTTTTCCTCCTTTCTCTTTCTTATTTATGCTATCCTAAAATAAAAATAAATAATTATTGAATGAAATAAAATTAAAATTAATATATCAACATATATTTTTATGGTAAGTAAAAGAAAAAAATTTTAAAATTAATAATAAATTCAAGTTGGTTCGGTTCCATCCAAATAAAAAAGACTTTGACAATAATAAAATTAACCAACATCATATATTTTATCCATAAATGACTATATATTATTTTATATATATATTTGAATGGATTTAACTTTTCCAAAGCAACTATCATGGTGAACACAACCAATAATACAACAATCCATCGATTCAATCCCTTATCTGTCAATGAGGGATGAAAGATATAACAAGACAACAACATCATTTTCAAACTTAACGTATCTTGACATTATATTTGTGGAACTTGGTTGACCGAAGAGACAACTTAGAGGAATAGAGACGATAATGACGAAAAAGAAACTTAATCGAATTTGGAGAAGTAAATATTACTGGTTAAAAATGTTCATTTGAATAAATATATAATGTTTAGTKTAATTCGATGTTGAAAATTTTATGCAAATTCAACAACCAAATTGAAGAATAAGGTTCASTTCAATTTAGTTTAAAATAGTACACCCAAACACAGGGACAACGATACTCTAAATACCCCCAAATACCTCTAATATGATATTCTTCGTTTTGGGTGCAGCTTTCACGACTCTACTTTTGATTTCACCTTAAATACCTCATACCAATAAAGATAATTGTCTTTATGTGTATATCAGGAATCACTCYCTTTCCTAATCAGTATGGTTTAAACCCGACAGGTTGCTGCTTTAGGTGGTTGGGATTTCTTTTAAAAATCAATGGTCTATGTTTCTCTACACTTACGAAGAAATTTGTCTTTTAGTTTTTGTCTTTTTTGTCTCTCTTTTTTTTTATTAATAGAAAAGAAGACAATATAAAAGTAATTTAAAAATCAACGGTCTATGTTTGTTTGGTTTTCTTTTAATTTTAACTAAACAAACAAAATATATTAACTGGCCCGCCAATTTGAAGCAATATCCAAAATTGTCCTCAAATCTTAAAGAAGATTTATTCACCTCAAGAATTTTAAAAAATCTCATTATTTCCCAACTCCACCCTAAATATATAGTTTCTTTTTTCTTTTTTCATTTCTAAATATATAGTTTCTTTTTTCTTTTTTCATTTCTCAAATGATGCCGTATGATAAATTAAGTTAATTAACTAACATATGCTTATAAAAATAATCAATTGATTGAAAAATGAAAGATTAATGTCTGCCACATTATTACAAAATAACTTACTTGTCAAAGAAGGAGAATAGACAAATACCATCCACAAGGGCCATGTCCTCGTGAATAACGTGGAAGTTTTTCCTTTGAGAAAGAAAAAAAATAGTGAATGATCATCTTCACATCATATATCATCCGAAGGACGGTTCAGTGAGAATGAAAATCATTCACACTGTCSCGTGCATTAAAGTGGGGCAAGGGAAATCCATTGATTTTATCCATTCCGATGATGTTTTAAATATTCATTCACATRTCATATTTTCATCCTATTTATTTATTAGAAATCATCATAAAAAGAGTTGAGGTAGGAACGTTATCCTTTCCTATTTCTTGTTTCCATTTTTCATTCTTTTTAAAAACATACATATTTGACAACTCRCCTCATTTCTCGTTCTAACGTTTATAAAAGAAATTGTCTAAAATTTTGGAAACAATCTCAATTTCATATTAAATAATATATATTGTGAGTTTGTAATCTAAGTAGATCATTAGCAATGTTTGTGTAGGTATGGATCCAAAATCTCTATTCGATTTTAATGTCATTAGTGTCTCAACGTAATTCTTTTTAATATTTTTCTATTTTATTTTTTAATAAAATATTTTCTATTTTTAAATTAAAAATAAATTGAATTTTTATTCTTTATTTAATTTAGACTTTTATATCAATAAAATTTATAGTGGCTAAACATTACTTCTTTTTTTATATTTGATACTTTCTTTCTTTTTATAAAATTTTTTCTATTTTTTAAATTAAAAATATTTTGAAATTTTATTTTTATTTAAATATAATAATTTAGAATTCTATATCAATAAAATTTATAGGTGCCACTTGAAAGTCCTAACGAACTTTTAAGTTTTAAGTCCTCGGTTGTAATTGTATTAGTAGCTAAATACCAACTCTTTTTTTTCTTCATATTTCATATTTCCTGTTTTCTTTCTTTTCTTTTTTTTTTACATAAAATAGTTTTATTTTTTAAATTAAAAATGTTTTAAAGTTTTATTCTTTATTTAAAACTAATAATTTAGGCTTTTATATCAAAGAAATATAATTTATATTGTAAATTATATTTTCTTTAATAAATTATATTCTTCGAATATGTGTTAAAGCTTTTTTATATTGAGTTTAGATTTATATTCTTGATCAATAATAAGTCTTAGATTTGAATCCCCGCCTCCACAARTTGTTCAACCCAAAAATAAGAAAATAAA